TGGCTCGGGTCTGGCCTGAGCTGTGCGGTTCAGCTTGGGCAGCCCACTAGTGGGTTTGGTTTGGTCTTTTGCTTGCTATAAGTAGGGATTAAGGGGGGATTTCTAGGGTTATGCAAGATTTGAGTTTTCTCTTAGCCTCCTTAGTTTCTTTCTCTTGTTTTTCTAGGGTTTATAGTGGGAGACCTTGTCCTTCTCGAAGTGGACAAATTGTATCTTGTTTTCCCTTGGATTTTGAATGCCATTGAAGGTATTTAGATTTGGTAAGAAAGGTTGATGGTTATTGGTTCATATCAGGTGGACAACCATTTATAAAAATTGTTTCAAGCTTGGGCTTGGATGCGAAGGAGAAATTATATAGCTGCCCCAAGTTTGGATGCTGGTGATGATGACGAAAATACATTTTGTTTGTTCAGTTGTTTCTTTGACCAATCTAGTAAATAATAATCTTAATAAGATTCTTCGTTTTCTTTTCATATTATTACTGCTGCTTTTTTATCCCCTTCTAAATCTTTTGCCCCTTCTAACCTCGTGTTTAATTTGCTTCTTAGGCTAATGCATGGTTTACGAAAGCTTCAAGGCACCGTTCTTCCGTTTGGAAGGTTAGCGAGAAGCATCCAGGTTAGAGCTTCTTGCAGGCTACATTTCTTATACTATAATTTAAAAAATTAGAAGAAATGCTATTTGTTGTATTTCTTTTACAATTTCCCCGAGTTAGGAGCATCATTCATCTTGCTGGCAATATTTTTATTTCAGGTTATAATGCTAGTGATTCAGATTCTGATGAGACTAGCATGGAGAAGAGCTAATTCTGTTTCACATGGATGGACTACTTTGGGGGTAAGTTTGTACTACATTAAAAGAAAGAAAAGGGTTTTCCCAGTGCATGAGACTATTCACGAGTTTCTTTGGTAGGGTGTGTGTAAGCAGACTTACCCCTCTGAATTGATGGTTGTTTTCCTAAATTGAACTATGTCCTGTAATTTACAGTGATCTCCAACTCACACTGTAGACAGCCTACTGTTGATTTGGGTCTATCCTCTGTGTTTGTATTATTGTGCTTTTGTCAAATTTCAAATAAAAAAGATTTATATTATTTATATGGCATTGAACTTTTATTAAAATTTTAATTGATTCATTTTTCTTGCTAAAGTTCTAATCAAAATGCACTTTTCATTTGCTTTGCATGACCAACCCTACCGTTTTTATTGCGAGTGTTATCATTAACCGAGTCAAACATGAATATTAGGAAACTACAGACTAGAGAGTTGTTAAATATTTACAAAATTTATAATATTGATGCTTTTATATAAGGGGGTATTCATGTTTGATCAAGATTCAAGACTGCACTTTTAAATGGTGGATGCGATCACTCATTTTTTGTTTTAGTTTTCTATTGAATTTTACTTGCTAATGTTGATGACTTGTTCTGGTTAAGTAGTATGCTTGAGATGGTAAATATACTGCTATACCTTTCGGGTTAAAGAATATATAATCCTGATAATTTAGTGTAATGGGCCATACATGTGTTTGATCAAGATCGAACTTTTTAATGGTGGATAAAATCGATCATTTTTTGTTTCATTTTTCTATTGAATTTACTTGCTAATGTAAGTTACTTGTTTTGGTAGATTGGTCAGAAAGAGATGGTAAATAATATTATGCCTTTCAGATTCACATTAATGCTTTGGTTTCCTTGTATATTTATCCCCTCAGGAGTTGGTGGGTCGGCGCCCCTTGTTAAAGGGGAATGCATCTTTAGCCTTGATTCCAAACAAAGTGACTAAAAATAAAAAAAAAATTCTTCTTGCTAGAAAAAAGAAGGCATTTCACGGACAAACATAAGTGCACATAGGCACTCACAATGATTGTATTTTCTAGTGCATTGTCATGACTTTATGAAGAATAATTCCCATAAGGAGCTTTGAGCAACCAAATGGATTGTGCATTCTGGTCCTTGTTAAGAAGTTTGTTGGAATCCCAATTTCTAAAAAATAAATAACAACAATAACATAAAGTCTTTATCCGATTATGTGGGGTCGGCTAAATGAATCGTTTTTCTCTATTGTGTTATGTTAGAGTCAAATTCTCATTTAAATTTAATAAAAAAAAGTTATTTCTAAAAAACACTTTCTAAAAAAATTATTCTATTAAAAAAATGTGGTATAAAATAATTTATTGAAAAACTTCTATTCCTTTTCAAGTTAAGGTTATTCAATAGGTGTTATGTTTATAAGTAAAACTTTCTAATTTTATTTTGAAGACTAAGAAGATATAAGATGAATGGAGAAGAAGTGTGTTGATTTCTATTTTTAAGAATAAAGGTGATGCAAAAGAGTGTGCTTATTATATAAGAATTAAGTTAGTGTGTCCTACATTTAAACTATAGGAGAGAGATATTGAGCATGGGTTATGAAATGATACTAATGTTTCTCAAAATTAATTTGGATTTGTGCTGGGTAGGTCTACTAAGGAAAATATACATTTATTGAGAGCTTTGATGGAGAAGTATAGAGAGAAAAAGGAATATCTACATATGATATTTATTAATTTAAAGAAAGCATATGTGAAAGTTCCAAGATAAGTGCTTTGGAGAGTTGTAGTGAAGAAAGGAGTTAATAATGTTTATATTCATGTCATTAAGGATATGTATGCAGGAGTAGTTACTTATGCTCAAACACAAGGTGGTTTGACCAAGTATTTTCCTATTTTAATTCAACCCATATCTTTTTGCTTTAATCATGGTTGTTCTTACTAGACATTTACAAGATGATGTACCCTGGTGTATTCCTTTTACTGGTGATATTCTTCTTGTTTACAAACTAGAGAGGGAATTGAAGGAAAACTTGAATTATGGAGGTCAACCTAAGATTGTAAAGGTTTTCATTTGAGTAGATGTAAAACTGAATTCATGAAGTGTAATATTAGTTGTAATAGATCTAGTGGGGGGACTATGACTTTAGGTGATCAAGTCATTAATAAGACTATACATTTTAGATATATTGGACCTATTGTTTCAAAGCAATGGGGAAATAGATGAGGATATTATTAGTAGAATTCAAGTTGGATGGTTGAAATAGAGGAATGCATCGAGTCTGTTGTGTGATAAAAAAGTACTCCTCAAGCTTAATAGATAATTCTATAAGATGGTGATGAGACCTCCAATTCTTTATGGCGCAGAATGATGGCCATTAAAGGAGAAGTATGAAGTTATGTGTTGTAAAGATGAGTATTTTTTGGTGGATGAGTGGCTTCACTCTTAGAGACATAATGCAAAATGAGTATGTAGGTGAGAAGGTTAGAGTAGCTCTAGTGGTATATAAGATTAAAGAGAGTCGCCTTAGCTTATTTGGGCACATAAATTGTCAACCTTCTGATGACCCAGTTAGGAGAGTAGTTGTATTAGATTTGACCTATGTTAAGAAAGGTAAATGTATACCTAAAAAGACTTGGCTAGAAAATATTAGAAATGACTTGTTTTATTAGATTTAAATAAAAATTTGACTATTAACATAACATAATAGAGAAAAAGGATTCATGTAGCCAACCACACGTTGTCGGATAAAAGCTTGATGTTGTTGTTTTTATGATTTATGCTGCATTCTTTGCACATATGTTTGAGGTATGATAGCAATGGTGGATATCTATGAAGTTGCAGAATGTTGACGTATGTGCATGGGAGCATTTATGGGATTAGAATTTTGTTTTGGAAGCATGATCGCAAGATTTGTTCAAGGTGCTTTTATGAAAATGTTGGAGCAAAGATGAATATAGGTAATGCCATAACACTAGTTTGTATACTATTGATGAATTTATTTGGAAAATAAATTAATGTGATTTCTTATAGCCTTAAAAAATTTATGAATACCCTTATTCGTTTCCTTATAGATTTTAGTCCAAGAGGCCCTTAAAATCTTTGCATTATTAATCGTGGAAGGATTGGTTTACAAATATGATTAAAGAAAGGACTTAATTACAAGAATTGTAATCTAAATTTTTAGATAAGGAAGGGCGGCCAAGGAGAGGGGAGATAGGAAGTTAAGTGGAAAGAATAAAACAACTATCCAATATTATCACATTAAATTTCTCCATTTATTTCTACATGCTTGTCCACACTTTTAGGAGATGCAAGAAAATATCCCCTTGAGTTATGAATTTTAATGATTGTTAGGATATTTAGGAAAAGGGTTTCTTAATTGATATAATTAGTTAGGGTTGGTGATAGACATGAATTGACTAATATTTTAATATATTGGAGGCCTTAGGATGTGACATTTGAAGCAACTGAATTATTTTCTTTTTACTCTCCATATCTCACTCAATAGGCCTACTCGAGCCTCACTCTTTTTCTCTTCAGCATGCCATCTAGGGTTCAATCAAATCAATACATAAGTTCTATAAAATTCAGAAAATTGGAGAGAAGAAATGCTTAATTTTATTGCATAAGGCTCTCCCTATTTATAGATCTATACAAAATATCTTAATAAGGAAGCAAATAATTACAGAATAATGCATAATTGTACTAATATAATCTTTCCTAAATCATCCACCCAAATAAGAAAGGAGATTGGCGTGATCCAGGTGAGCATCCCACGGATCCCCATGCTGGCCATGATATCAATAGGAAAGGGATGGCTAGGATGACTGGGACGATTTTTGACGCCCCCTCTCTAGCTTGGTAATCAGTCCAGAAAGGTAGAGTTATCAAGTCATTTGATAAGAACGTCTACAAGTTGACTTTTTAATGAGACATAGTAAATGCAAATAAGTCTACTATCCAATTTCTCATTTATGAAATGTCTATCCACTTCTATGTGCTTGGTCTTCTCATGCTGAATTGGATTATGAGCTATGATGATTATTGATTTGTTGTCACAGTGTAATTTCATGGATCCTTCCCACTTGATTATTTGGTTTTCTACAATCATTTTTATCCATAGTAGCTCATATATACCTAAGGCCATAGCTCTAAACTTTTCCTCAGTACTAGATCTTAGCATCACATTTTGTTTCTTTCTCATCCATGTAATTAGATTTTCTCTATGGAATGTGCAGTATCTTGAGGTAGATCGTCTATTTACTGGTAATCTTATGTAATCTGCATCAGTATAAGCTTGATGGGGTTATTCCACATTCTCTTATAATGAGAATCCCCTTTCCTAGATTTTTCTTGAGGTAGTGCAGTATTTTGTCTATTGCTTTGTGAGTCTACTTTGGATTCTGCATAAACTGGCTGACAATACTTACAACAAATGCTATATATGGTATGATGTGGGAAAGGTGGATCAATTTTTTCATAATCCTCTAGTACACTTCCTTATCTACATATGGATCCTTTTTAGCTTCCCTCAATTTGAGATTTAGTTCTACTGGTATTGATGTTAGTTTACAAGCTAGTTTATCTGTTTCTTTAAAAAGATCTGTAATGTATTTATGTTATGAAATGAAGGCTCCTTTGCTAGAGTAGGCCAGTTCAATTCTTATAAAATATTTCAATATTCCAACTTCTATGATATCAAATTCCTTGGCATGATATTTTCTTAGAATCACTTTCTTCTTTTTATCATTTCTAGTCATCTTTGGTTTCAGGTTTGGGTGGATCGATTTAAGGTGGAGCTTGTTGGTTAAGGGGGGCAAGCTTATTTTCCTCATCTTTCTGAGTTTCAATCTCCCTCTGAAGATGAGGTTTGTTGAAATAGGATTTTTATTTGTCAAAAGTGACGTCAATAGATTCAAGAATTTTCTTGGTGGAAGGGTGATAACAATTGTAACCTCTCTGGGTGTATGAATATCCAACAATGATACACTTGAGTGCTCTTGGATCTAATTTTTCTCTATTTTGACTATGAATGCGAACATAAGTAGTACACCCCAAGATTCTGGGTGTGAGGTTATTATGGATTCAGACTTCAGGGT